AGAGGCAGCATGCACAGTCCCGGGGTGCCCCCAGAAGAAGGGAAGGATAAACCACTTTTGAGTACAGTATTCCCTTACCTGGAAAACCCTCAAAAGGATCACCAGAAGTCAGAATTGACTTGAAGGCCTGCTTATCCAGAAGTGCATCACGGCAGAGCAAGAGAGGCTACAAGCCTAAAGTAGATAAGCTCGCATATACTGCATTGCGATAAAGCAATTCATTATTTGGGTTAAGGGATTTACATCACAGTTTCAACTGTCTACTCACAAGGGGAGTCTGAGAAAACATACTTACAGTATACAGAATTGCAACCTCAGCATGCCCCAACCTTTTCAACCCTACCGATTTGGCTAAGGAAGCAACTGCTGTGTCTTAATTATAAATTCTGCCCAACTGTGCTGTAGCCCCAAAATGTTGCACAAGAAGCAGTACAACTATTGAAATGAAGAGAAAGCGGACTCTCACAGTTGTAAGTCCACTAGAAAGAAATTACACTTAAAGCAGGATTCAATTTTCTCTTTATAGCCCACTTTCTGCTTGTTGTAACAAAGATTTGTTGAGAATTTTCTTTGCAACCTTCCATCCTGTCCGAGTTTGTGTGACTGGAAGGGACTTTTATGGGCTGAAGTGATTGTGTATCTATCCAGCACTAATCAATTGTTCCTTCCAGCCTTTGAATTCAGAGAGAGCTCTGCCTCTCTGCTGAGAGTTTATTTACCCTTTTTAATTGGTTTAAATCAGTCAGTTGTTTGGGGGGGGGTTGTTGTTAATTTGTTCAGTTGGTTGCGTGGAGCAAATATCAAGCAAATGTGTAATAGCAAATATTTTTATTCTTTCTTGTACAAATATCTTACCTTGAGTTACTGACATTTTATGTACCAGTTAATGAGAAAGGGGTGGACTTTGGGAACTTGTAGCTATTCTCTGCTGTAGCTCTCTATAATTCTGTTGTGCACAAAATGAGATTTTTACTAGAAATTCAAAACTTTGAAACAGATTTGAGGATACATTTTGTCTTGGGCTGTATATTTGTCCAAGACATGCTTCTATAAAGAGTCTGTAAACTACAATTTAATGCAAAATATATTTTAAAAAAATATATATTTATTTATCTAGGATACCATACATCGTGGTCTAGAATTCAATTATAAGGTTGTAGCATATACACTGCAGTGTATATTGACTCAGTTATTAAAAAGCCAATATAGGCACTATTTTCTTCAGGCAATTACAGAAAGCATTAGGACAAGCAATATACAAGTTGCAAAATGGTTGAAGACATCACTGACCACATTTTCTGATTAATACACAAGACAAGAGCCATAGTTTCCTCTTTCTCACTACATTGGAGATAAATGTAGATACTTTAATTTAAAAAAATTATATCCTGCCTACATCAGGTGTTCCCAGGCATCCTGCAAGACATTTAAAATACAACATTATGATGCAGCTAATTTTAACACAACCTGTTTAATACAGCTTACTTTAAATACACAGGAGAGTGGAGTGACAAAACAGAATCAAGAACAACAGCAATGGTTAACTGGAGGCCTTTTTAAATAGAAAGTGTTTACAGACTACAAAAGACAGCAAGCAATGATGGCTGTACAGTGGTGCTTCGCAAGACGACTGTTTCGCATGACGACGAATTCGCTTTATGATGAGGTTTTCTGAGCGATCTTCGCTTCGTTAACGATGTTTCCTATGGGCGATTTTTGCTTTACGATGTTAGGGACCTTGCCTCGCAAGACGGTTAAATATTAGGTCCCTGTTTTTTGCTTTACGATGTTTTTGACAGCTTGGTCTTGCTTCGCTATACGAGTCTTTTAATGGTCTCTGTTTCGTTAGACGGCTGTCTTCGCTTGGGAACCACATTTCGCTTAACGATGTTTCCTGTGGCAATTTTCCCTTTACGATGACAATCCATTCCCATTGGAACGGATTATCAGGTTTTCAATGCATTTCAATGGGAACACGTGTTTCGCAAGACAATGTTTTCGCTTAGCAGCGATTTTCGCGGAACGAATTAACATCGTCTTGCGAGGCGCCACTGTACTTAGAAGTGTCATTATTATGCTATTTACATGAAACCACTGGGAGAGGTTGTCTGGAGTTGTGGGGTTTGGTGACAACCAGTATGCTGATGACCATCAACTCTTATCTTCTTTCCATCTAAATCCAAGGAAGCTGTCTTGGTTCTAAATCAGTGTCTGGTGTCAGTAATGGACTGGATGAGGGTGATCCTAGTCAGTGAAAAAAGCAGATCAAGTAGTAGGGTTGCAATCTGTGCTGGATGGGGTTCCAATCCCTCTGAAAACACAGGCACGCAGCTTGTGGCTACTCCTGGATTCACCTTTGAACCCGGATGCCCAGGTTTCAGCAGTGGCCAGGAATGCCCTTGCACAGTTAAAACTAGTGTACTAGCTGTGCCCGTTTCTTGAGAGGCCACGGTGACACATGCCCTAGTTATATGTTTGTTGGATTACCGTAACACACTCGATGTGGGGCAGCCTTTGGAAAGTGTTCGGAAACTCCAAAGGGTCCAAAATTCCGCAGCAAGTTTATTAACTGGGGCTGATTACAGGGAACATACAACACCCGTTACAACAGCTTCACTGGCTGACGATCTGTTTCCGAGCACAATTCAAAGTGCTAGTTTTAACCAACAAAGTCCTTTTAGATAGCTTGGGTCCAAGCTATCTAAACGTCTTCCTCTCCCTCTATAAGCCTGCCTGGGCATTAATTAAGATATTCAGGGGAGGCCTTTCTCTCAATCCCACCACCCTCACAGACGCACTTGGTGGGGACACGGGAGAAGGGCTTCTCTGTCGCTGCTCCAAGACTCTGGAACTCCCTCCCACAAAAAGCTAGGCTGGCCCCATCTTTGCTGTCCTTCCCCAGGCAGGCAAAGACCTTTCTCTTCAGGCAGGGTTTTCCTTAATGACTGGTGGTCTGAGAGGGGATTTACACAGATTGTTTTAAATGTGTTTTAATATTGATCTTAGTTACCATTTTAATAAAATACTTCTTTAATTCTTTTTAATATGTGTATATTTACTGCTTTAGCTCTTAAATATTGTTTTAGTGATGTAAGCTGCCTTGGGTCCTTTTGGGAGAAAGGCGGCATAGAAATATTTTAAATAAATAATTCTTACTAAGATAGCAGTGTAGCTCAAGGGTGAACATTTACATATATTCACCTGGAAGTAAGTCTCACTTAGCAGGGAGGGGGGTCATTTCTAAATAAACATTTCTACAAGGGCTTTGCAAGTTCAAAAGAGTGGCTTTAACAAAACCAGATATCATCATCGGGCTCAAAGAAATTACTATCCAATCTGTAAAAGCTCTTTACAATAGATTAATTGACATTGAAATGAATTTCTGGATGAATCTCTTAATACAATAAATATATTGTCTGGTTTCACCATTTCCCTGTTTTTAAATTATATTTTTATTTTCATCTCACCTCTTCATGGTTAATTGAACACCACAATCCAGATCTTATTTTTTTTTAAGAAGAAAAATATACCCAGTTGCAATATAAGCATAGTTTTTTGGTGTGATGCAAAAATATATACTCTTATTTTCCTGCATTTCTAATTTGAAAGAAACTATATTCTGCCCCCTGTGGAATTCTACTGTGCAAAAACAGAAGCACAACATTGGTGTCCCAAGATTTCTTTCAACAAAAGTACGTAGTCTCCCCTTAACAGAGACAATCTAGAATTTCATCTCAGACAACAGAACCTATAGCGTCAAATTAAAGCCATTTTTAAAAAAGGCTCTTCGTTAAGCCCTGTCATGTCATGGCATGCGTGCTGCTTGCTTACTCATCTACAATACAAAAGGGGTGGAATGAACATGCTGCCAAAGGAATGCTATACACAGGAGTTGCCATAGGAAAGAGGTCTAGTGCAGCCTGCAGTTGTTCTTTGGGATTCACATTTTCTCCTCGTTTGGCGAGGAAAGGATAGCATAAGAAGCTCTCAGTATGACAATTATTTTGTTGTCTATGGATTCACTACATAGTTACACTGCATTCACTGAATTTTTATTTAGTCAAGCTAGGTTTTTCTCAAGAACATACACTCGTGCAGCTCACATAAGGATAAGATCTATACTAAAAAAAAAAAAATCCACACAGAAGTTGTCTGCAGCATTTTGATTAACTGTCCTAGTTCGTTACCAAACCGGTGATCTGACTGATCTAACTTACGCCAGCCATTTATTCAATTCAAGTTTATCTCACATTTTATCAGGGCAGGAAATGCCATCCATTTTCTATGCCTCCGTAGAAGTAGCCTTTTCAACTAAAATTTCAGAAAGTTGTTTCTTCCTATCCTTAAATGAGACAGCTTCCTCCTCTGCCCTCCAGATTTACCACTGAGTTTTCCATATAGCCTTTCCAGCTCTTTCTTTGTGCTTCACCTAGGTGAGGAAGTGAATAGTTTTTCCATTTCAACAAGGCTTGAAATGGTAAACAAGCAGTAGTATGAATACTACTGCTTTAAACACAAATGCATCAAGCACAATGCACCCCCAGTGGAACAAAAAAGTTAGTGCCAAGAAACGTCTTCCAAAAAAATAATAATAACTGCTCTTTCAGTTCTCTGAATTGCACAACTTCCTTTTAGCAAAGGAACACTGCCTCTAAATTTGTTTAAAACACGCATCTTCCTCTTTCAGTCCCTCCTTGCTGCTTATGGATACCATGGCACCCAGCCCTTCCACGTTACTGATACTGTGAACAGTTTTTACTTATCCTTGCACAAAGAACAAACCATCCTTGGCGTCAAGGTTTTCAGCTGCAGCATTTCTGTGAAATCTGAACAGCAGCCTTCAGATGCCTTTCCTTTCCCCCCCCTCCCCTGCGAACAGTTTTAACACAGCCAGCGCAAATCTCAATTCATCATCTCACGTTGCTGCCAGAAGCAGCTTTATTTTCCTCTCCTGTAAAGTAGCCCCGCAACTTTTTAAAATCTTTTTTTAAAAGCCGTACCTTCTTTAGACTCATCTGCTTCGGAGCTCATGGTATCAGGCTGAATCTCTGGAGATTAACAGATGACGTGCGCGTCTGAGAAGCAGCAAAGTCAACTTCTCAGAAGAAGAAGAAGAAGAAGAAGAAGAGGGGGCTGGGATTAAAGGAGGAAAAAGTTTTGTGAAGTCAACGAATCGTAGCTCAGCTCTACTAAAAGATTCCGCCTCTTTTTGAATGGCATCTCAGCAACTGAGACAGAGCACCTTTACAAAGACCCGTTAGATTTGCCCGAAATTCCTGCTTATGCACTTTGTTCTCTTATTTTACTGTTTCTAATAGTTGATTTCTTTTTTAACTTGTTGGGCCTTGATAAGCAGCTTGTTCCTGGGTAAAGACAGGCACCCAAAATGAAGTTCAGACAAAGCAGCAAAAAAATCTATTTAGGTTGTAATGTCCCATTAAGAACAGTATGGACCTCCAAAGCCCAAGTGCAATGCATCTTAAAGCTAAAACAGTGTTTTTTACTAAACAGAAACGAAGTGTATGATATCTGAGACTAGACTGCTTCACGAGAAACTAAACAAATGCCTTAAGAAGGAAAACTAACAGATTGCTCAAGACCAGCACTAGTCACAGGAAGGCTAGGGAAGGCTTGCTAACTTGTCATCCTTGCCGCTCTGCAGTACAGTATTTGTTTTTCCATCTCTAGAAGAAACAATTTAAGAGCCAGTTGTGAGAAAGCCCTCAGCCCTGGTGAGATGCTGCTTTCTGAAATGTGCTTTAGCCAGGCTGTTGTGACTCCTTGGAGTGCAGTTAGAATAGCACCGAGGTTAGCTTCTTGGTTGCTTGTTGTCCCCCGTCCCCCAACACACACACCATATCTAATACCTATATATTAAGTCTTGATTATTTCATTACAATTTTGAGTTTATTCTGTGTTTAATTGTTTCACCTTCTTTTGTTATGGTTTATTAAATTTTTTTTTCAAATGTAATGAGTTTTGATATTATTTCGTATTAATAACTACGCTTTGCTCCTTGCAAAAAAAGTATTGATCTAATAGAGCTCACAAACGATATTTATTTTAAATGTCAGCCTATGAGTTTTTATTAGTCCTCAAAAAGAAGCAATTTCTACTGTGATTTTGATGGAATATTTTAGTTCCCTTTACCATGCTCTGTCTATTTCGTTGCTGTTATCCTACTGCCTATTTACACCAGTATCATTCCACTGAAATAAGTTTCAGCAAGAAACTGACACTAAATAAGGAGGCCATGTAGACAAACCAAGTTACCTCACAGGTAATAGCAAATACATGTGTCAACTTATAAACTGGCAGCAGGTCACAGTTGTAATTTACACTGAAGGAGTTATCCTGGCCACTTACTTGAAGTGTTAATCAAAGTCTATGCAGAATGTTTTTTTTAACAAGTTATCTTTGTAATGAGTTACTTGAACAAAATTGCTTGTTTGCTTGTATCTGTCAAGGCTGTAATTCACCATTTTTCAGTGGAACAAGAACAGGGTGATGTGCCTCTTTCTCCTCATGGGGTTTGAGCAACAGGAAAGAGAAGGAGGAAGCATCAAAAGAGGGAGGTTCATTTTGTGTTACTGGTTTGTTTGCTGTCCTTGTGGACAAAGTTTTGTGGAGGAAGTGAGACAGGCAGTAAGATAAGAAGAGTGAGTGAGAGCAAGTGATTGGGCAATTAACAGCAAAGCCAGTCTAAGAGGATAAAGACAGGGAAGGAATTGATCCAGGCAGAGATTGGATAGTTCACTAGTTTAGGCATCTAGCTGCAGAGTTTGATTCCCCACTGTGCCACCTTGGCAGGGGCTGGACTTGATGATCTACAGGCTCCCTTTCAGCTCTGCAGTTCTATGATGATTTATAGGGACAGTTCAGGATGTCAAACCCAACAGATCTCTTGCCTTCCGGTATCTCTCCAGAACTGTGGGGAGAGTGTTTGAGAGAATTTCTTGGGGCAAATTGTGAGCATGTTTTTGCATTTTTTTCAGTGGTGCCATGGGAACACTAAATGTTCATAGTGAGCAACACAGCAAATTACTTTCTGTGACTTTAGTAATAATAACAACAATAGTCTGATGCTCAAGCCAAGTAATAAGTTATTCAACAAGTTCCTTTTTGAAAGTAAGGTTCAAGCTCCAAGCCTGTGGCTCTATTTCCAATAGAAATTACACTAAAACTATAGTTTGTGGTAAGCACAGTCAGGCATCCAAACCACACTTTAAGCAGCCATGTCATGGCAACCATGGCTTGTCTGCTTACATATTCTGTACACTTAGCAGCACATTCCATTGGTTCGGGGAGAAGGAGCTGACGTAGGCATCATGATGGTATTAAGTATGGTTTAGAGAGGGCACTACATCACAACATACCAAATCTGATTATTTCATAGAAGATAAAACTAGCTTGCTTGGCATCCTTAGTCATGCAGCTGCAATCTGCTCTTACTAGTCCCACTTTTCACTTGGCAGAATATGTAACTGTTACTTAAGCAAGATGAAGTCACATACTGTAGGTATTTACCAGATTTTATTGAGTAAGTCAGCACTGCTCTTTTAATGTGCACATGTAAGTGACCCACATGTTCCCTTTGTAGATGTATGGATATGACATGGATGCAGCACATTTGTAATCAAATGATCTTGGGCTTCCCTCTATATAATGATCAGTTCTGGGGGTACTGATTAACATCCAAACTAACCCAAGTACAGTATAAACCAAGGTTTTCAGACCCACTCCAAATCATGTTTTTTTTAACAGCAAGCCACAGTTAGTCATCTCAGATACCTGTATTACACAAAATCATAATTAAGCTTCCTTAGCAACAATCTGATAAGAAGCCTATACTGAGAAGCCTACAGTTAATACATTTGACACTTTCTTCTCTAATATGAGCAATTAAACTGCTTCTACTGAAGTATGGCGGAAGGAAATTGTTATAGTGTTCCCAGTTAAAGAACAGTATCACAATCCAAATGCGGTGTTTTCTCCAGTTAAAATAACTCCATACACACTAGTGGCCTTTTGTGATGGACATAAAAATTTTCAAGAGAAACAGAAGATTAGTCTGAACCAAAAGATACCATAAAATCCAGGTTGCATTACTCATGTCTGAGAACACATACAGAAGATGTTTTCATTGACAAATAAATGCTGTGCAAGAACTTAAGACTCATTAAGTTCTTTATGCAATTGCAGTTTACTTAGACAGAAGCTCCTCAACTTGGCAGTTGCCACTAAATGTAAATGTAATTAGTCCTGCCGTAGCTCTTCTTCTGTCTGTTTAAACAGCTATGACTTACTTGTCAATCTGTGGGCAAAACATATAAATAGTTGATGACAGTCAAAGCAAGGCTTGCGTAGATGACATGAAATTGGTTCAGTGGTTCAGCTCAGTGGTTTAGGTAGAGTTTGATTCCTCACCCTGCCTCACTTCTGCTGACAGCTGAAGACCCATCTTCTCAGGCAGACTTTTAACAAGCATGACTGTGTCCCTGAATGCCTTTTTAAAGTTAAGATAGTTTTTAATGTTTACTTTTAATTATTCAATTGTACTTTAATTAGCATATAGTTTAATTGTTTTTTAATGTTTAACTTATGTTTTTAATTCTATTTTAATCGTGTGAGCCATCTTGAATCCCCTTATCAGGAGAAAGGTGATCTATAAATAAAAGAGAAAAAAAATCTGTCTATCTATCTATACATTAGTGCACAGCAATATTCTGGGTGATTTACTGTACATATAAAACAAGGAATAGCTAAATCAAATAAAATATAAAGCCAATCAACAGGAAGCTAATATAGGCCCATGTTATGTTCTGATGATGCAGTGTTTCAGAACAGTGTGGGGCATGAAAGCTCAAGAGGGGCTGCCTCAACAGCCTCCTAAAATTAGGGAGGGAGGAGGCGAGACGTAGGTCCACAAGGGAGGTGATACCAGAGCATTGGTACCACTGCCAAGAAGGTTTGACGTCATGTCAAAGATTTTCTGGACTCCTTTGGCATCGCCACCTGGAAAAGCATTGCCTGGGAGGATCTGGTGGCATGGGATGATTACCTTGGAGAGAGATGCTCTGACAGGTAACGTGGCCCCAAACCATGAAGGGCTCTATGAGTAAGCATCAAGGCCTTGAACTTGATCTGAGACACAACCAATAACTAGTGCAAGCAAGTCAGGACGGGGGAGATCCAATCAGATCTGCTCACATCTGCCACAAGCCTGGAGGCTGCATTCTACACTCACTGCAATCTCCAGACCGATCTCAAGAGAAGCCCCATGTAGAGAGCATTAAAGTGGTCATTCCTGGATATCATCAATGCATGCACTAACATTCTGAGGCTCCTTCATTTCGGTAGGGAGAGAGCAGGGTGAAGAGTCTTAATTGGTCAAAAACTGATCTGGCCATGGCGGTCACCTGGGAATTCCAGGAGAGAGCCAGTTCCAGAAGGACTCCCAGGTTCCAGACTCAGTTCCTAAGCAGACAGAAGGTTTACATCATCCAGCCTAGAGAGAATACCCCCTAACCCGCCTGAGGCACCCCATCTTGTCCATGTTCAACTTGAGCTTATTTGCCCTGGTCCATTCCAACACCAAAGCCAGACACCATTTCAGTGTCAGAGAGCAGAGGTAGAAAAGGAGAGAGACAGTTGTGTATCATCATATCTTGTCCATGTTCAACTTGAGCTTATTTTCCCTGGTCCATTCTAACACCAAAGCCAGACACCATTCCAGTGTCAGAGAGCATCCACTGCAGAGGTAGAAAAGGAGAGAGACAGAGTTGTGTATCATCAGCAGCATACTGATGATACTGTACCGCAGATCCCTGGACCACCTCCCCCACTGGTTTCACAAAGATGTTAAAAAGCATTAGGGAGATTGATGACCCCTGAGGTACCACACAATCAAGGGTCCAAGGAGCTGACAACTCTTTCCTAAATTGTACTCTGGACATGGTTTCTGCGAAAGAACTGGAGCCAGCTTAACATCAAGCCCCTGATCCCCACCTCCAACAGCCTATTCAGGAGGATGCCGTGGTTGACAGTATCAAAAGCAACTTAGAGACCCAGGAGTACCAACATGGTATGAGATCCCATACCAGCCTCCCTTAAGGC